AACTAATAAGATGAAACTACTTGGCAGAAGCATCAAGGTCACTAGCAGAATAACCATATTAAATAGAGAGCGAGAGAGAGAGAGAGAGAGAAATGGAGTTTAACCTCAACTCCACACAGCTACTAGGTCATTTCGGGACTAACAAATGGTTCAATCTTATTTCAATAATTCGCTAGCGCGTAGGGATCTTTAGCAGTGGGAGGAAACCGGAGGACCCGGAGAAAACCCATGAGGTTGGAAGGCAACCCTACTCCTTGTCACGTACAACCGGCGATTTGAAACCATGCCAGTTGACTCAATGACAGGCCTTATGATACAGCGCACACGTACTAACCATTCGCCCCCCCCCCCCCCCATATAAAAGGTTTCTTAGCCAGATGAAGTCTTCAAAAGAGAAGTGGATCATGTGTTTTAGAACTTTTAGAAAGAGAATACCCTGTTGTTGCAATTAGCAAGGTGAAGTCTGCAAAAGAGAACTGTTTAAGAAAGAGTATATCCTCTTTTGTTCATGAAACAGTCTATTTTTGGCACGACCTAGTTCCATTATAGTGGTTAACAACATCAAAGAGAGGTTCCATGAATATACATGATATACAATAACAACATTTTATTTCTACATTTTGGTAATGATTTTTTTCTAAAGAGAATTGTCCATTTTTGCTGACTGCCATTTACAGGAAATATCAATCATCAAAGCTGCTAAGATAACGCCAATATCAGTTACACAGATTGTGCTGAGGAAATTTGCAATCATTTTAGACCTGAGTTAAAAGAGCATTATGTTTAGATCCCTTGACTTTTTTTAAAACTAAATAAATGACTTCTACTGACAACTGCTCTCATAAATTCTTCCACTTTCATTCATTATTTTTCACTTTACTGAACACAGAAAGGTTCAATTTTTACATTTTATTATTGTTTTATTATTAAGTTTAAAGTAAATGAATGGTTTTCAGTCCTGAAAAATTAAATAACACATATTAAACTGTTCGAGGACCATAATGGTTTATATTTGGTTTGAGACATTTACACCAAATTAATTAAAATGTAAATCAAATGTTAACATATGACATTGACATTATTAAATGTATAATATATTAAGTTTTCCTTCAAGGTGAAGTCCCAGATTTCACAGGACACTGTAAATAACAGGGTTTACATTAAAATATGTAAATCAAATGCCAAAAATTTACTTTTTACTTTACTGAAAGTTTCAAATCAAAATATTGAATCATTTAGAAGTTATCATTGGTTTGGTTAACAGTTTAGGTAACTCATTTAAGGAATGTCATCCATATATTCAAATTAAAACTTCTATTTCTCATCAATAATGGCTTGGTTGGTTTGTCTCAAATTTTACATACAATATAATTTCCTCATGCACAATGTAACTGCAAAGATAAATCAGAAACCAATGAAGACCCCAAAGCACTAATTCCTCTTAAATACCAAACTCTTATTAAGTAAAATAATAATCAAGCTGATGTCTTCAAGACAGTTGAGCTTCACAGTTCAACAACGGAAAGGTGGATTTATGATTTTTTTAAAACAGTCTGAAATCTGGATAGACCAATACTTTTGGTGCCGCTTCTCCATACATGTGTACCAAGTCAGCATTTTGTATATACTGTTAATCTGGGCCTATTTTAAGGTTTTATTGAACATATGGGTTTGTAAGGGGGAGGGGGGCAACCTATGGATTTCGAGAAAATTTCCAATTAACTTTGTAGAGAAGTATGAGAATGGAAAATGTATTTACAATCATATCATTAGATATGGATAATAACGAGCAAAAACATTCATCTTTACCACATACTAAATGCTCCTGAAAATAGGAATAAAATCAGTTAGCGACTTAACTTTGCAGAGTGAGTATAAGTACCGGTAAGTGAAATATACTATTTAACAATCTTTATTATTGGGTCTTCCCTTCCTACAAATAATACAAATATAGAAAAGGAAGACCATGTCTTGTATTTTTCCCATATCATATAACATTAAACCAGAGAATAAGGTTTAAAAAAAATATTTTATAACCACCATCCGATCCTCCATGGTTGATTGTATGATTATGCATCAATTGTTAGCAAATGTAGAATCTTTTTTTTTGGGGTAAAAAACAACAGTATGTCAACATTTCAACTTTTTTATCCCACACAAATTACTTTTTTTTCTAAAGAATTTAATAATGATTCAATTTAAATTGTAATAATATTTATGGATGTTTGGTCTGGATCGAAGGGAAAAGTTGGCATAAACATAAAATGTGGGACTTGCTAAATGTCAGATATCAAAAATACATTAATACAAAACTCTTCTTCTTTCAAATTAAATATCATCTCCTAAAATACCTTCAAACTCTTACGCAAATCCTCTTTCAACACTATGAAAGATGACATCATGACCTTGGAGCCAGTCTAGTTTGTTTTTTTTAAAACATACTATACTCTTCAAAAAAGTAGGGGATATTCAGAAACAATACAAAACTGCAGAAATGCACTTTTTATTAGAGGTAACCAGTGTATGTTAATAACAGGCCAATTGCCTACACATGAACATAAACAGTTCATATGAGTGGCTTATCTGACGGCCCCATTTCACTCGCAAAGAGATACACTGTCAAAAGTGAAAATGGATGTTTTTGATTTTTGTCTTAATAATGAGTAATTGCTCCACCAATCCGCAGACATTCAGCAATTCATCGTGGCATGCTCCTAATCAACCATCCAATCAGGATTTTGGGCAATCTGACCCACTCCTCATGCAGTGCCACGACCAATTCTTGCAGTATTGTCGGTTGACGTTGACGAACACGCCTCCCGATCAAATTAAAGTAACACTAACATACTAAAGCAAAGTTACACTAAATAGTAAATCTTATGCAAGAACTGATAGGAAAGCAAACATGGATAGGATAAACCAGCACGTGGCCATTTTCATCAACCCTTCCTTGAAGTGTCAAATTTGACAATGAACCCCTCCCACGTGTATGGGGCTATTGCGTGTCGCATGTGCAGCTCAGTGGTTCTGTTGGTGCGATAAGTTCTTCATCTGTGAACATACTCTCAAAGCATGTCAAGTGTCCATGACTATTTATCGTATCACAACGTGTATAGATATTTGCATTTCAATATCCCCTACTTTTTTTGAAGAGTATATAATAATATCACTATAGGCTACTTGAAACTGTTTCAAACCACTGATATGAAGTTTAATTCACAATCAATACATAGTTTCTATTAGGAGACAAACAGGAGACGTTTATCGATACTGTAACCCAATAATATTTTCTCTCTTTTTCTTGGCTTCAAGGACGTAAAAAAAAAAACCAAAAAAACAAAAACAAAAATAGTAAGAAATCAAACTACTCTCATCCAGTTAGCGACCGGTCATTCCTGTCCATTTGAAAGGGGAGGTCACTCTTTAATTAATTTAGATATTGTAAGTGATTTTTTTTTTTGTACTTTTTAAATGATTTTCAACTCAAGCAATGATAATGTTTGAACTAAATTGCATAGTATTGAAAAAGGTGCATACACTTGAGCAATCATATAGATATATGCTGGTATTTCAACCTCTTTACTAATTTAATAATTGAAATAATTTGTTTTACCCTTTAAAGTAAAATGTAATATATGTTTACTTCAAATCTACTTTAAAATGCTTCATTTAGTTTTAAAATAATTTCAAAACTAGTTTCAGAATTTAATTTGCGAGAATATAAGGTTAATCACTGGCTCAGTAACTGAGCCTTATTTCATCCCTCTCAATGATTGTAGCATAGAGAAAATTTGATGAGGATCAGTTTGAAATAACTTTTTTTTTACAGTGGGATTTAACCAAGCTGTTATTTTTATTAACTATGGTCAAGTGTATAGTGTGAAAATTTTATCTAAAAAGCAGTGTGTGGTGTACATGGATGGACCGCTTTTTTTAAAATCCAATTCAAATAATATGAAGCACATTGTTCTAGTGAGCCTAGCAAACATTAGGTTGTTAAAACTTGGTAGCATATCTACTGCCTTAACAAAATTCAACTTGCCCATATATCTTATAGAAATAAGGTTTGCCGATCTTGCATGATCTATCTTTAAATCCCATTCAATAATTTCTAATACTTAAATTCATTGACAACTTACAATACAAACAATTTGTCCAAGTACAATAACTAAAAAAAACCACAAAAAACAAGGAATACAAGAGAGATATAGTTGTTTGTTTTTCAGTTTCAGCTCTCCGAAAAAAAAGGGTTCAAAATGAAATGATGGAATTTTTCAATAAATAACATTTTGTGATTCTACTCTCGAAAACATAATATAAATCTTACACAAAGTTTGTAATAAATTTAGCTCCAGCAGTAGGCTAATGAAGACAAGTAATGTAATTTTTTTTGCATGAGAGTATTATTTGGTATCTAACAACGTCCTTACTCCAGGCAATCAAGGAAATCCTGAGAAATCTGAACACAATCAAGAATGACATTCAGAGTGACTGCATCTAATTTATTTATAAATTGAGTTAGATTGCTGTAATTTGCATTAATATTTAAAGTCAATTAAGGTCTGGGGTTGGTCAACTCTCTACACCACTGATTAATGATTCATCGTATTTTTACAACTTACACTCAATTCTAACCGAGTACGGTCACAGGAACATAGGATTATCTCCCATAAATAATTTACACATTTTTTACATTTTTTCATGATGTACAAGCAGTGAATTAATGATGCAAGCAAAGGCTAATGAACTAAAAATAAATACAGAACACAATCGTTAATACCTATTCTAAATAAACAATTTCAAAACTGAACAAACAAAGAACTATTTGGTCAATATTAATTTTTAAAACAACATCCTGCATGCGATTCCATCATTATATAAAAAAATATAGAGTACTTTCTATGGTGTCCAAGGAAACTGAAGTTCCTTAAGTGTATTTACATATAAACTCAATATTGAGCGATTCCAACACTATCATATGATTAACTGACTGTTCTTACCTTTCATGTATTCCGTAGTTCCATTAGAGTTAATCAGATTGTTCCAAAACACAAATATTGAAAAATTACCTGAACATATTCACAAACAGAGAAAATCGTCCATCTATATTTCATTGATACATCATTGCTACTATTAATGGCAATGCCAAGATAAATATTTCAATTGTAAGCATCCATTCTATTGAGTAGACGACAGTATTAGAGGTTCAGTATTTAGAATGTCTGTAGTATAGTCTATTTCAGATTATCACCTAATACAACAATCATAAGCACTACATCATGGTCAGCCATTGTAGTGTAACATAGTGAAACATTGCAAGCAGATTAGCGACCATTGTGATCAATGTAAATCCTGTGTTTCTGTATTTAAAGAGGTAATCCACACATACTTATTTTACTCCAGGCAATTACTACAGGCTGTCCTTTCACAATCTCGTTTACTCACACAAAAGCATTGTGACGCGTGCGTTGTTGGAGTATATAGCGAGAGAGGCTGGTGGACGCGTGACTGACTGAGTGATTATTCTCACATTGAGCTGTGAATCCCAATACAACTCGGCTCTGTCAAACAGTCATCTGCCAGGATCACAGCTAAATTCCCTATGGTCCTCTTGCAACCAATGAAAGTGTGCATCCACTTCACAGGTCAATCCTGCTTTCTTATGCAAATAATGTCCCCAAATGACTCATGACCACTTGGCATGATACCATTGCAATAGTGCCGAACCACAATTTGTTTTCTGTGGAATAACTTCACACCAACAACTGGTCTTATAATATGTGGAATGGTAAAACTGTGAGTAACTATACAATAAATGCTGGCTGTACTGAATGTATTAATGTGTCATTACTATACCTATACAATATCATGTGAGATTATCAACTATTGGTAGGTAATTGTGAGTACAATAAATGCTATACATCATTATGACAGACTTCCTTGTTGTTCATCATTTTAATACATCACTTCTGACACATGAATACAACTAATAAAAACACTGTCTATATGTGTACAAAGCAGCCGACCTTCATCAATAGAACCCAAAACAATAACATCAGAATAATCAATGCTGCAACGACTTGACCAACAACGTCTTAAGAAATCTACACCATCGTAAAAACCATTATTTTATCAGCCCTGTTTAATTAAGTCGTCTATATTATTTAGTGATTGTTTATAGTAAAAAGACCTAATGCAATAACGGTTTTAAAGCCACCTGTTTAAACATGAAAAACACAATAATTCTTTCTCAGTAAATTTTGCATTAGAAAAATATTTATTGAATTAGCAAACACAACTAAAAAAAGAGTTCAAAAATGTAAAACACATGAGAAAACAGATAATATGCTTCTTTCATTAATCCACAGATTGATCAGATAAAGGATTTTGACAATGTTCTCCAATATATATCAATAAATTTATTAATTTATCAACCATTATTAACCTCCCAGTCATTATCAATATATGAGATCATAAATCATGTAATAAATGCAATTTCTCTAAATAACAATGTAACGGATGTGACCTAGGTTTTTTGCATTAATTACATGCAAATAATAATTTCATCAACAATAATTTACAGTCCACCAGTCTATCTGAATATCTAATCTATAAAACAAAAATAGTCCTAAAGCTGTAGTAGTTTTAAATACAAGTGGTCAACTCAACAATAATCCACATGAACATACTAGTAACAAGATTTATATAGCATGATTAATGGATTAACTATATCAAAGTTTAGGTTAGCTGTCTCTTTGAAGGATAATAACTCTGTACAAACAATCAAAATGTGATCAACTGCCTTTATTAACACTTCCCTTTTTTTCAAAACATTTTTTTTTGTTCCTCACAGCTACCCCACAAACGTATACATGTTAAAGAACAAATGTAATATTATTCTAAATCAATATAAATATACTGGTATTATATTAATCAGTTCGTCTGTTTTTTCTGGAAGAATTCTGGCACATGGTTTATCATGTTTGGATAAAAAAAAAATTCTGTTAAAATAAATGGAGATCAATAACATAATGTTTTGAAAAATCAACAAATCTATCAAAGTTTTTTTTATTTCACCATTTTAAAGAGAAGAATTCTTCATGAATAAGTTGGAGATCTTCCATCCCCCATTCAATAAACATTTTGAAAGTAGAAAATAGTTTTTTGAAAAGGTTTGGTCGTTTCATTGAAAGGAAGGTCTGAACAGGTTTATCAAAATAATCCCTGCTCATTTTATTATTCATTTACACAACGTAAAGTGTCAACAAGGGAAATAGAGAGGGGTTTACAGTCACTTCAAACTTGTCTCTTGAATGTAACACTAGGTATTGTAATATATCATTACATGTTTAAATAGTAACAGAAGAAGGATAAAGGAATTATATATAACAGTTTAAAAGCTTATTTTACAAGAATTCAAACACAAATATATAAAGATCCTATCCTAAACAATTGAAAGCATCCATGAAAAAATGAAGTTCAATTTTTTTTTTACATCATACTTGCTAATTTAATCTCTGGATTTTTGTCATTTTACATTTCTATGTTACAAAAACAATGAAAATAAAATATTGATCCTTACAGAAAATCATTCTCCTAATCTGGACTCATGAACCCAAAAATGAATAATGATGAAAAAATGCAGAGAATTGCACTTGATGTAGCTTTTGTCAACTGAGATTGTCCAGAACAATAGACCTAGTTTATACGGTTATATTTTTTAAACAAGAGAAACAACTCGGATGAATAATTAATGATAAATATTGTTGGATGATAAAAGTATCTATTTGAGAATGATAGACGAAAAAGAAACCAGATGAATTATGGTCACAAGGGATTGCAGTCCACTAATAATAAAAAAAAAACCCATCTGGTATTACAAGAACAAACAATTCATGTAAAAATGAAAAGTGAATTATTAGGGTGTTTTTTATATTTATAATTAAACATGTCTGCTGCTCACATTCCATCACATCTATCTGTCTCATCTAAGCTCATCCTGTGGTCCGACTGGAACCCTATAAAAAACATCTATCTCATAATGTACATATCACATGCAACAAAAGAGAAGTTCTGCATTTGCACATGTATATACAGTACCGTAATCAATAATGAATTGAAAGGAATTTAAGGTACTAGATCACCTTGCATATAGATTAGACTACGTAGTTCCACCTGCCTAACAATCTCACCAACAACCTGAAGCCATTCAAACAAACATTGATTTCTTTCTAATATAAAGCCCTAGAAGATGTTCAGCTTAATCCTGTTAAAATGTCACACCATCATGCTTTTCAATTACAAACAATATGAAGACATATTTTACGTCTTTAAGTGTAGATTACAAGTATTATGGGAAGACTAGCATCTAGCGTGTAACCTTTAATCACCAAATGAGCAACAACTATTTTCTAAAGCCCGAAAAAAAAAATCTAAAAATATTTGGACGGCAGAATGAAAATAATATGGCCGCCCAAGCAGTGTTGGAAATGAAAGCATTGAAGAGTTCCAATGCAGCTGTCAGTTATTTTATTGTTTTGCTGTAACACTATTTCATATAGAGACAGATGAAGAGACAAAAACCCACAAAAATATATTTGTATGCTGTGAAAGGGAATATGGTTGTCGAACTTGATGATTGCCAAAGAAAACTTTCAATATTGCAGCTGTCAGTTATTTAATTTCTCTTGATAACACTGTCCTGTATTCAATAAAAAAAATTCATGACCATTTTCTGAATGATGAATACATGACAATATCAAAACTTGTGTATAGAAAACACAGTAAAATCTGCTTAATAATAATTTATCAAGTGCCTGAAATCCAACACAATGTGCTGCCTACACATCTATTGCATTTTTTATAAGGCACACTGTCAACCATTAATTACATATGCTGTGAACATAAACAAGACATGCAAACATAAATTGGAAACTTCAGGCATGTTTGTTCATGAGACTGAACCCCTTGCATGATACAGAGTAAACTCAAAATACACCACAAACAATTAATTAATGCCAATACTGGGAAAAGTTATACCTATAAGTGTGTTTTTCTCTGTGGCTGAACTGCTAGCACGATGAAGATTTCATTAAATGGGCTAAAAACATACTAGTACTAAACGAATACACAGTTTTATGGGGGTTATTCATACATTTAACAGGCTGGAGAAATATTAGAAATAGATACATAGCTGATAAAAAACCTAACAATTTGCAGATATAGTCACCTATTCCATATTTGTGTTTCAAGCAGTATACAAGTACAGTTTGATCAATAGAAACTATATCACAATAGATCTCCACAGAGCAAATCACAATAGATCTCTATCAAGCAAAATTAATATATAAAAAAAGAAAACCACTGATACGTAAGATATCATTTTTTCTTATTCTTATTTGCTCCCCAAAAATTTACCTCAGCCAATAGATAGGAATTTACATTTTAAAAAAGCAAAAACTTTCAATGGTTTTTATTAAACAAATAGAAGACATGAAGCTGTCTAGTCACAATATATTTTATTTTTCGTATTTACGTAAACAAAGTAATATATCGGCTTTAATTTTATTGATTACTTTATGACAAAACTTCTTACTTTCATGTCATACTTCCAATATTTATTCAATCAAGTCAGAAGTTTCAAAGAAATGTTAAAGCCTTTGTCTACATTACAAACCATTTGACTACTGATTATATGTCTTTTTTACTGTTTTTCTTATCTCTCCAGAAAATATTGATTAGTCTTTTGTACTAAAACCGATGAAATTTGTAAGCCATGTGAACTATCCAAATAAGTGAGAAGTGGTATCAGGTAATCTTGAAAATGAAATTATCAACCTTGCCTTGTGCACAACACCTACATCAATATTTACCATTACTAACTGGACTAGAATATCCGAACTTTTGGGATATTTCAAGACAATGTTAACTTCCTTTGATTCCTATCTGCAATTAAAATCATATACAGTAATAGACTGGTTCAGAATTTTGAAAGTTGAAGATACACGATGATACACTTGGACAATCTTTGTACAACAAAGAAGGGATACATTTTCAAAAGAAAGAGTTAAAGATACATTAGTTAAGAGTTTAATAAAGAGTTGGTCATTCTTGCTATAATAATTCAAAAATAGATGATAAAAAAAGAAAATATTGAAAATTTTATTCAAATTACTTCATTCTCAGCCAAGTTATCATTGTTTGTAGTTTTGACAAGATGTGTGCACAGTGGTAACCAGGGCACTGGTATAATCCCATTTTTAAATTAAATTTTTAAATGGCGAACCGTTTTAATCTAGTTAAAATCTCGAGTATCCGATGCCATAAATGCCTATTTATTAGTTTATTTAACATTTCAGGCCTAAAGAAAGTCCTGCAATAGGTAGATTTAGTTCTTGCATAATGTATGTTTAAAGTAGCTAAGTCTCTAACTCAATATCATCCAAAATCTTCAACATTGAAAACACGATTTATTTGTCAAATTAAATCAACATTCATGTTGTGATCTTACCGGAAACAGATGGGCTTTTGATATCCAATATTTAAGACAAAATAAACATTTTACCATTGGTACACGAATCGTGTACCATAATGCGCTTCAGCCCCAGTTGTATCAAGA